GAGAGAGAGAGAGAGAGAGAGAGAGAGAGAGAGAGAGAGTACGATTGTAGGCTAAAAAGAAATACAACGAAAAACACTTTCTCTTCTTTCAAGGCGTAAGTTTGGCCGCAACAGCATGATATGCATAAAACACTTATAAAATAATTCACAAATTATTGGTTGTTAAACAGAAAGTATAATATTTTGTACATTATTGGAGCAATTTCATACACTCAGAATTGCTGAAAGAATATTGTTGCTGTGATGGGGAAGTCATTGAGATGGTTCCCATTTGAGGGCCGTTTCTGTCGCATGAGGGTCATAGAAATTGGAAAATTATTTCTGTGAAAGCTCACCGGTTGCTATCAGTGAGACCTCCTCAGCATCTTGAACCTCGGGATGTTTCTCGGTACAAGTGTCTGATGCTGCCTTCGTCTGAGAGGGGTGCGAATCCTGAACAGGCTGGCGTCCGTTCTGGAATAGTTGGGCTACTATCACATTATATCCAAATGGGTGGTGTAATTGTTAGACTCTTGGTCGGTGCACAAAGAAAACATGAGTTCAATTCCCAAGGGGGAGGAGATTTTTGTTTCTTTTTTTTTTGAGTATCGCAATCTGTCTGCTGGAAATTTGAATAAAGGTTTATAACCAAGACGTGGTTAAATCTAGCCTCTGCCTAGGTGCGAGACAATAAATTACCAGATTGTGCTATTGGTTTCCCATGGCATAGCTACGGTTAAAGAATCATGACAGTTAGAAATTGGAGAGTGGCTGCTTGGTTTGATCCTTAACAATATTAAACACGGTACTAACTAATTTTGTGGACTGCAAAAAAGAATGGAATTCACTTTATTCTACTTACTAACAAGACTAAACAATTTTGGAGTTTGATTATTGACAACGATGAATATTTGCGTGTAATTGTTGTGTGTTTACCTCACTTTACCATTGCCGGTGTGTTTTACCCAGGAGAACCATTCTGTCCACCTAAATAACGAATCTCAAACCGTTAATGTGAAAAAGAATTAAAATGATTCTTTCTCTTTACCGTACAGGCACCACAAACGCTGCTATGGTGTAAAATATTATACATTTTTCGAAATCTTCACCATAGGTCATTCTTTTGGAAAATCATTGTCTTTCTGGATGAAGTAAAAATAAATAAGTTTTGGGTTTTTTTGCTGATGACTATCAACTGCGACGCTAGGGACGTTGTCACCTTTTCACTAATCCCCCCCCCCCCCCCCCCACCTTTCCCCCCTCTGAGCTGACGACATTTGTGGACGGTCCCTCAGGCCGATGTATTGCTTGATCAAGCAACCATTCCGCCAGTTTATTGGAGCAAGAGTTTTGCTTGATTAACCGAGGAATTTGATCGATCAATTGCACTGCTACATTTCAGTTTGAGCTCATCTCTTTTTTGACTGCTGCCAGGCAGAAGCTAGACAGGTTTGCAAGCTTCTGATTACGAGGTCTATAATAAGTATTGTGTATAAAATTCATTTGTACACTAATTGTTTGTTGACTGGTGTTCTCTTTGGTTCATTCAAATATGTGGTCCCGGACGATTGATTGATTAATTTCTGCGTACGTTTTTTTTTACTTCATTTCTTAAATATAATTGTTGGCTGACAGTAACTCATCGATTGGTGGAGAGCCTGGCAAAGGCAATAGAAAAGAGGATAGTTTCGGGGTAATATATTATTATTTATAGTACTGGTAATTTGGCGTTGAAGACGAGGAATGTTGACAGAGATGGAAAGAAAATGTTTCACTCTCTTTCTCTCTTCTGGCGCTGTGGCTTCTTAAACGGTCAGCGATGCCGACAGCACGCAGGAACTCAACACTCGCCCGGGGTCCTTAAAAAGTGCTGAAAGTGGGTTACTGAAATGTACCAGCAGACGGGTTCTAGCACGATAGCTGGCGGGACATCTCAGGAACACATGGTCCATAGTTTCGTCCTCCTCCTTGCAGGCTCGACAGGACGGATCTGGGTTGTCTGCTGGCGCAATTTTGTGGAGATATGATCTCAGCTTGGGCGATTTTCCAAAGAAAATGTTTAGAAGATGTCTCTGTGTGTGTGTTTGTGTGTGTGTGTGTGTGTGTGTGTTTGTGTGTGTGTGTGTGTGTGTGTGTGTGTGTGTGTGTGTGTGTGTGTGTGTGTGTGTGTGAGAGAGAGAGAGAGAGAGGGGGGGAGAGAGAGAGAGAGAGAGAGAGAGAGAGAGAGAGAGAGAGAGAGAGAGAGAGAGAGTACGATTGTAGGCTAAAAAGAAATACAACGAAAAACACTTTCTCTTCTTTCAAGGCGTAAGTTTGGCCGCAACAGCATGATATGCATAAAACACTTATAAAATAATTCACAAATTATTGGTTGTTAAACAGAAAGTATAATATTTTGTACATTATTGGAGCAATTTCATACACTCAGAATTGCTGAAAGAATATTGTTGCTGTGATGGGGAAGTCATTGAGATGGTACCCATTTGAGGGCCGTTTCTGTCGCATGAGGGTCATAGAAATTGGAAAATTATTTCTGTGAAAGCTCACCGGTTGCTATCAGTGAGACCTCCTCAGCATCTTGAACCTCGGGATGTTTCTCGGTACAAGTGTCTGATGCTGCCTTCGTCTGAGAGGGGTGTGAATCCTGAACAGGCTGGCGTCCGTTCTGGAATAGTTGGGCTACTATCACATGATATCCAAACGGGTGGTGTAATTGTTAGACTCTTGGTCGGTGCACAAAGAAAACATGAGTTCAATTCCCAAGTGGGAGGAGATTTTTGTTTCTTTTTTTGAGTATCGCAATCTGTCTGCTGGAAATTTGAATCCCCGACCCAAACCGAGATGGTTCTAGTAAACAGGGTCAAAGTAGCCACCTCTCGAATGCTCTAAATTATATTGGCGTGTATATGAAAGATTTACGATAGTTTAAAACCATTTCTTAGATAAGGATTACGGATATTGGAATTAAGTTTTTTAATGTTCAGTAATGTAAAATCATTTCTATAGCAGGGCTCGTGCCTTTGTGTAGTTTGATGACTAATTCCGCTTATAAGGAAGGAGAGGGCTGATGTCAAAAAAGACACACCTAATACATGGACCACCATTCAGTTAGAAAGGCCAAATAAAAAGGGGGAAATCAAAGTGGTGCAAAAATATAACTGACATAGACTGAATATTCTTAAGAGTTAGTAAGGAAAGCTTTGTTGCAACACGCAAAATTAATACATCTTTTATCCTGATCTTCCCTAAATCAGGCATGACTTCAGTCAACGATCAAACATATTACTATTACAGCAGAAAAGTTTGGTCCTGTCTCGTGGTCCAAACAGATATTTCAATTTGAATACATAGCGAATACAATCAAAGATTCACGTTCGTTTAGATGCTGTAACCCTTAGTAACGTTCGAGTTATTTCATTCTGTTTTTTTTAAGTGCCGTCGTTTAGTTCATAATTTCAAATCACTGTCAAAAACATATGTTAAGTTCTTAGCGAAAACACCAGTCGTAAATATCCCTCAATGAACCAAAGCGCAAATAGGTGCCTTTGAAGCCCAGTAAAGATCTTGTCAGTATCGCTTGTGTCTGAGCACCTGAAAGAAGGCAGATAAGCCAACGGAATGCTTCCCGGGAAGCTGATTGTGTTTTTAGAATGTTGTCGGATCTTTTGGGATAATAATAACTAGCAGAGCACAAGAGTGCCTTTTCAGTACAGATATTCAATGATAGATTTATGGCTTAAGTATAACATAAAATAATGTCGTTATACTTAGATCTACCTATATTTTTGGGATAAAGTTTTATAATTACTTTAATCTTTTATTTTTGTTGTTGCTGTTGCTGCTGCTGTTGATGATGTGGTTTGTTTTTGTTGCCAATGTTGTTATTGTTGTTGTTGTTGTTGTTCCTGCTGCTGCTGCTGCTGCTGCTGCTGCTGCTGCTGCTGCTGCTGCTGCTGCTGCTGCTGCTGGTGAAGAAGTTTCCATTTCTTTAAGTGTGTGAAAGGGTTCCCAAGTGGATCGTGTTCATTTAGTGCCAACACGCTGACGGCCTCGAGGGTTGCGTTGTTGGAACGATTGACGAAGTACAGAATAATGAAGAATCCGTATTCACCTGCACTTTCATAAGGAACATCTGGGCGGCACGATTTCTCTGTTTCAAATACACATAGGTGGCCACTGAGAAGATTCCCAAGGTAAACACGAAGCTGAAAAGCAAAATTTACTCTCTGGCGTGAATGTTTCCTGAGTGCGCTCTTGCATCCGTAAGTAAAAGCAATCAGTTAGTGCACTATTTGGTAGTCTTTCATTCTGTCCACCCCTGATTCCGTCTAACTCTCCCTTTCTTTCTTTCTCTCTCTCTCTTTCTCTCTCTCTCTCTCTCTCTCTCTCTCTCTCTCTCTCTCTCTCTCTCTCTCTCTCTCTCTCTCTCTCTCCCACACACACACTCTAACACACAAAAACACTCATACAAACTCATAAACACACCGTCTGTCTGTTTTTGCGCTTCTCGCCCTCTCGATTTCTTTCTCTTTTTTTTTCACTTTCGTTCTATCTCCATCAAAATCACACAAGTGCGTATGATTAACTCCCACAAACAAACACATGTATGTCCTGTCTCTCTAAAAATGTTTTTCAGAAGAAGACTTACGTCACTAGAGATACAAGAACAGCCTTGCAGCCATTCCCAGAACAAATCACTCCCACGAAGGGCATCCCAGAAAAGGCGGCAGAATGAGCTTGGGGTTTAAGGCGAGCTGCTTCAAAATCAAAGGATGGCCCGCTACCTTTCACAGCTTCAATCGAATTTAAGACAATCGTATCAACCACAGACGCCAAAGACAAAGCCTGGTTGTAGAATCTAAGCTGGGCATTCCTGAGTCCTGCAACAAAAGTAGAAACGTTTAAATAAATATTTAATGTTGGTGAGTGTAAACGAATGAGAACTAAATGCAAAGCTCTAGTTACATCATGAGTCTTTTTAAAAGGTGACTGAGGACACCTAAAAAGAAGTTTCATAACACGGATTTGGGGGGGCAGGGGGGGGGGGGGGCATTTTCTTGCAAAGAGACAGGATGATGTTAGGAAAACTAGGCTTTAAAAAACCCTGCTATCTAGAAGTTTTGCACAGTGGAAAGCAACTAAATCTGCTGTATAACATTAATAAATGGTCTGGGTTTCAGGTGTTTATCATGTGTGATGAAGAGACTATTTTCGTTATACTGTCGACCTCTCATCAACCACTCAAAATATCTTTAAGATATTATTCCCAAGTCAAAGTTAACAAGACTTAAGTTGACTTGGGAATGATATTCTTCGTCAAATTTGATAATAAAAGAAATTTTCGAGGACGTTTCTCGCCGCCACCCGATTTCAACTTTTAGCAAAAATTAGAGAAACATGTCGGTGAGAATAGATGGAGATAGGTTTCCTACCTTCAAATACTGCTCCCAAGATTGAGGATGAATGCTGGTGAGAATTATAAAAATACGAGTCGACATAACTGTCATCGTCCAGGTCCATGGTTGTCACGGTAATGATTATAACCTGCAGTAGCACAGGTTCTAGTGTCTGTCGTCAGCTTCTGTTTGCGATTGTTCGGTCAGGTCAGTGCAGTCTCCAAATTGGATCTGTGGAAAAAATGGAAAGGTATCTATGGATGGTCCCGTATTTTGCTTTTGGGCCACATTACAAAGGAATGTGTACCCCAGAAAAGAAAAGTAGTAAAATAAAAGCTAAAAGGTTTTTTTTTAAAGCATTATGCTTAGTAAGGCCTAGCTGAGCATTTACCTAGTCTTGGAACAGGGCCGTCTCTTAACGGGAATAGATTGTGCTCATTCACGGCAGTCTAGTTAAAGAGAGTGTCTAGCGTATATTCAAGGAATAAAATAGCGACATTAGATGCTGAATATTGCTAGGAGGTAACAAAGGTAACAGACAAATGATCCACAGAGTCTCTAAAAGGCGTAGTGCGTCAGAAAAAGAAGACCGTGTCTGGTTTGCTCGGGTATAGATCTAGATCTAGAACAGAAATCACGGGTAGCCGGTAAAAAAAAATACTGGAACAATACACAGGGAACAAGCAACAGGCACAGCCCAGGCCTGTTAGTAAGCTGAAGGGATGTATTGTGTTCTGGTTGGAGATCATATTATTATGGAAGAATTCTACTAGGGTCTATTGTTTTCAGTTGGGTGGGGGTGGAACTGCTTTCCCCCGCTCTATCCAAATAAGAATCCAGTTGATAGTTTCCAGATCTAGATTAGATAGTTTTTCAAATAAGGAGGTCCTAAAGTTCTCAGTGCAGACCTCTGAGATAGCCTATTTTCAATTTCATTGTCTCAACAACAATCTCACCACCTGTGTATGCATTTGAGCCTAGATCTAGAGTCTTGATCTAGATTATTTCTAGATCTAGATCTATCTTCATCAAGACTTCTTGACGTAGATTAGATCTAGATCTAGATTAGATATAGATCTAGATATATCTAGATCTACATCTGGTTACTTAAAACATAACAATAAAATATAAAAGTAAAAAGAGTCTTGAGTCTACTACATCATAATGCGTAATTTAGAGTCTAGTACTCTTGAAACTAACCTGTCTCTCGTTTCTTTCCACTTATGCACCCATCTCTAGCTTAAAACGGACAAACACACTTTAGCTTGGAAAATTGTGTTTATTTTTTTGTTTTCTTTTTCTATAATCCTCTAAGTTTATTGTCAGTAGAAACGTTTACAGCATAAAATAGTGACGTATGCGAATGGCGGCTAGTGCTTCCACTCGCTGTTCACAAAAGTGCGGATATTGATGCATCTAAAATGTCGCACAGAAATGCGCCATAATGTAATGAACTGTTGCTCCAAAGGGGAGGGGGGAGGGGGGAGTGGAAGAAAGAACCCTTTTTTCAGACTAGGATAGGAATATTATTTTGAAACATCCACCGGGGGTTGCCCAGTTTGTCACAATTTCATTTAGGTATTTGAGTATTGATGACAGTCAATTACAGCACTTTAGCACTGTAGTAGTAACTAAAGTATTTTTTATTCTCCACCTGCAAATTGATGGCGTGGAGATAGTCCCTCTAAAATGTCAATTCAGCTTGTGTTGTTCAATATTTCTTCCTTTTTGTAATCAAATCAAAGCAGATTACTCTAAAAATATTAAGAAAGAATGTTCTTTCGTTAAAAACAATTGAAAAATAAAATTCATTTCATACAAATCAATTAATAATTCATTTACTCTTTTTGGGAGAGTCAGTGATAACTTCCATTATGCAGGGCGCAGTCGAGGCCAGTGACAAACTGGCATGCTTCCAATCCACCCCCAATTGCCCTATTGACCCAGACAGAACTATTTCTTAGGTAGAGTAAAATAATAAATTAATTCTAAATCGCATTCCGTTAAATATTTACATAGGACCCCCCCCCCCCCTTTTCCCCGCCCCGCTCTGCAAACACACACATACGCACTCGCGCACGCGCTCTCTCTCTCTCTCTCTCACACACACACACACACACACACACACACACACACACACACACACACACACACACACACACACACACACACAAACACGGGCACACACTCACAAACGCACACACTAACAATCGCATTGTCCTTTCTTGTGATCCGTGATATTCTCAAATTTACTGAGAAAATATAGGTAGATTCTAAAGATTTTTTTTTAGAAGCCTATAATATTACTTTGACACCAAAGACATACCGATGTTACCGTTCTTTACATCGTCTATCTTCGTGAACAGAGATGTTGGCCAGACTAGCCTAAGCACCCCTGCCCTCAAGAGCGAGAGGCTACAGGTTACAAACAACTAATAATTCTTACTGTCGGTAACGTTCCTATTTCAAGTAATCCATTCATCCATTCGCAGCCTTTTTTTAGACTGTTGTGGATTCTTCAGTTTCAATACAGAGCAGATCCAACAATAGTGGTGTTTCTGTGGTAGCCCGAAAAGGAATCACGTTATTTACTTCTAAGAATTGTTCACTGATCAACAAAGTGGGAACATTTTTCATTATATAAAATAGTCAAAGATGGTAACTTGTCAGTAGTATGAAAGGGGGGGGGATGAATTAACCCCAAAAGCCAATATACCAGATTGCAACAGCAACAAATAGCCATATTAATAAAAGCGTAAGCATACAAAGTTAAGCGTACCTCATCCAAAAACAAAACAACTGAATTATAAAGCAACTGTCCAGTCTTAATAAATTTTCAAGTTACAAAGTCAGTAACATAGATTGCCGGGAGGGGGGGGGGAGGGTCATTCAAACACATAGGCCTAGTATACTTTATCTCGAGAAATAGTCTCACGGTAACAGTGTCTTCCTGCCTCTAGTTGCGAGTGACCTATATATCCGTGCGACCGCACTTCAAAGTGTTTGTGTGTGTGTCTGTGTGTCCTCCAACGAACTACGTTCGTGCTGTTTATGGTGCCCTATCTCTCCTCAGAGCCCTCTATACCTGTCACGCCTTGCAAGAAATAAGAAACGTACAGGCCTACTACAAGACGATTAGACTGTCTGTATACGACACATTCGGACAAATCAGCATCCAGGTTTATGGTAACTCGAAGTGACGCAAACACTGTGAATATCTTCTTTTCCTTTGGAACTCAGCCACCCCAAAGAAAAGATTTAAAAAAAGGTTCGTAAATTATTTTGTCAATAACGCAACGGACAGCTTTGCCGTTGTAAAACTGATTACCGCTGTTTGATATAACTTGTATAACACTTGATGATTTCAAGCGTTGATATTTTTCTACCATATATTTCCAGAGCTGCTGTCCGCACCAGAAGATATTATGTGTCTGTTTGTTCCTGCATTGTTTTTTCCTCTATGTCTTGGTCTCTGCAAATACAAGTCAATTCAAGTAACTGTCGGTCGGTCTGTCTGCCTGTCTGTCTGTTGGTTTATCTGTCTGTATGAATGTATGTGTTTCTATCAATCTGTCTGTCTGTCTTTCTTTCTGTATTTTCATGGGTACATGTCTGCCTTTCTCTCTCTCTCTCTCTCTCTCTCTCTCTCTCTCTCTCTCTCTCTCTCTCTCTCTCTCTCTCTCTCTCTCTCTCTCTCTCTCTCTCTCTCTCTCTCGTCTTTCTCTCTTTCTCTCTCTATCTCTCTCTCTCTCTCTCTCTCTCTCTCTCTCTATATATATATATATATATATATATATATATATATATATATATATATATATATATATCTTTCTCTTTCCGTCTCCCTCTTCCTCCTCTCTCTCTCTCATTATCTATCTATTTATCTATCTATCTATCTATCTATCTATCTATCTATCTATCTATCTATCTATCTATCTATCTATCTATCTATCTCTCTCTCTACCCCTCTCTCTCTCTCTCTCTCTCTCTCTCTCTCTCTCTCTCTCTCTCTCTCTCTCTCTCTTTCCTTCTACAATGATAAATTCCGGCTTTTGCTCTATTTCGCTTTGTCAGACTTGTTGTCTGTTCTTCAGACAGGAACAGGTCAACACTTTATTTTACGTTATATATTCTGTATCAACGCTCTTGTTGTGCTTGCATGCTGTAATAATAGTCTACTAATTGCGTTAACCACTTGACTCTTGTAAGAGAAAGGTAATTGGGAGAAAAATGCTTTGCTGGACTTAGTACAACCCTTTAGTCCCAAGAGAGTAACGCGTACATTTTCTCTGTGAAAATGACTGTAACTTGGTTCTTTCGTGTAAAATCCTTTTTGTGCAGCCAGGAGCGCATAATTTTAAATAATAAATTATTTTTAGCTTACAAAAGTTCTCAAACGTTTCATTGTTTCAAACGTGATGTGTCTAGTGTCTACCAATGATCAACTTTGTTACTAAATATTATGGTGTTGTGTGCCAAGCACAAGATTGGACTAAAATACGAAATAATGATTGTGGCAAGTAAGTCATATTGACTTACTCTCTAAATTATTGTGCATGCCAACATCGCTAGAATACGAACATTGTTTACGTGAAGTAGACCTAGCTCATTTTGACTCATGAAAAAGAAAGGTAAAAGGAGACAGACTTTGTTATTCACGACCTTGTACAGCCCTTTAGTGTGAAATGGCACCCAAAAAAAATCGAAGATACTATTTCGAAATTACACATAGCTTTGTTGTTTCAGACGTCAATTTCAGTTGCGAGCGCCGTAAAACCCTCTACTAAAACTAAAAAAGACGTGAATTTTCTGCAGGACTATTGGCTCTGCTTCTTAAAACCGTTCTCCCATTGCGTGCCTAGCACAACATCGCACTGGTAAAAATGGTCAACGAAGTATTGGTTACGCTAAAGAGGCAACCACGAAGAGAGAGGGGGGAGACAATATAGCGCGTCTCACCGTGTGCCACCAACCTAATTAATTATTCGTACATTGCGAGACGCAGCGAAAATTGTTGTGGTAAATTAGGAACAACAATGTTAATGGGGGCGGGGTGGGTGGGTTTGGTATATTGCGCCTTGCTCATATGGAGATGATGGCTTTTGTTCGAATTGTCAATGAGGTTATCTCGAACCTTGGTTGTTTGGGGAGTTTTCAACACGCTTTGCTTTCGTTTTGTCTCCAGCCTGTGGGAAATCCGACCGGTTAAATAAATTGAACTTGTAGTGTTGAGAGAGAATTAAACTAACTTATATATTTATACTCACATGTGCAGCAATTTTCAAGTCTAAAGGTAGATCTACGGTGAAACTTAAACAAAAATAAGATAAAGATAATAAGGGAGGAAAAAGAAGAGCAGTCTTAAGCTCGTCAGAGTACGCGAAGTAAATGTCCCTCTCTTACTGTGCAAGGAAGTTGATAGCTGCTGGCATAATACTTTTATTAAAGAACTATGCTAACCAGGCGCGGTTCGTCCATAGAGCACGGTCATGCAGTGCCGCCCAATTTTTTTTTAATATTCTAATTTGTAAAGCACCCACAAACATAAAATTAAAGAAGCAAGAAACAAGCACAAGCCAAATATAATATCAAAACAAGGTCCTCGTTGGCGCCGTAAGTGTCATTTCTATGTCTATATCGCCGTAAAACATCTACTATGCCATGCCAAAGTCCACACGCTTTAACTAAACACAATAGGATATTCAACACTGGTAACATGACCTATAAATCGCTCTTTGGGATAATCCAAGTGATGACGACACTCGTAGCGAGTTTGGCGGTACATTAATATTAATAAGCCGGCACATCTCAAATGTGCTCCTGCCGAATAGTGCCGATACATAGCCCACAGTAGGCATTCTAAAAATAAACGCGATAGACTTTACGCTTTTCAATGCCAAAAGTATTTGAGCCTCGGAGCAATCCAGCGGAGTGCTCAAATGAATTGTGATTGGTTCACCGTCTTGCCGCTATTTTAAGTGACTCTGTGACCGTGAACCTGGGGGAGGTGAACGTGACATACTTAAGTCACCGTCCTAATATGGGTTGTGCCTTTGAATGGTTTTGTAGTGGAGTGGTGAAAGTTATTACTAGAGTATTCAGTTCTCATGCAGGATGAACGAATTCGATGTTTCGCTAACAAACAGATTTTAAGTTCTTGAAATCAAAGCGGCAAGTAAAAAGAATGAAAATAAAAGCACGAGGACCTCCCTCACCAACCCAAAGATCCTAAAATTATGCACCATCTCATTTACTATGCCTTTGACAATCTTCAGCCTGCGATAGCTTAATTGTGCACGCCCATTTTTTAGACCCACGAGCCGCCCCTGATGCTAACGGTAACAGAGAAGCACACCCACCACTCACCCCCATATTTTCTTGCGCCTTGAAGATCCCAGTCAGCTCGCTCCTCCTCCTTTACGACCTAAGTGTAACTCCCAGAGACCCTGGATTTTTGCTCCTTGTCAAATAGTTCAAAGTATGATAATTATGCTCTACTTCTACCCCTAAATCCTGGTTCTACTTTTTTGCCCTATTTCGTTTGGTATTGCAGCACCCTTTTTTTCCCACGTATCGCCCTTGACCCAAAACTGTCTCTTGGGAACAGGTTTTTTTTAAATAGTGATTTCAGAATCTTATCTAAATATTCTGGCGTCTGTTGTGTAGACATTATGCACTTCGTCGTCGCGGGCAGAAGACGTGAGTTCGATTACCGTGTTGGGAACGCGTGTTTGTCGGGCATCTCCGTCTATCTGCTGGAACGTCGTATCCGAATTGGTCTTTACAGGCAGGGTCAAAGTATTCTGCCTCTCAAATGATCCACTTAGAGTGTCTAGGTGGGAGGAAGGGGGGGGGGGGGGCTTAAAACATCTACAATTACTTTCTCTTTTTTTCCCCTTATTTTGTCACTTGCTTCTTCAAACAAACATTTGTCGTGACCTGCCTTTTCCCCTCTGTTTGCCCTTCGCTGTACTCTGTGACTTTGTTGAGGACGTGCCCTAGATGATCAGTTGGTGTCATAATCGGGAACGATGCAGTTGACCGTTGGTTCAACTGGGTGTGGATAGGCGGTGGGGGGTGGGGTTACTTTTTTTTCGTTTGATTTTGCTTAGTTTGGGATTTACC